GACGTGTTGGTGTATTCTGAGAATGAGGAGCAGCATGTGAGAGACGTCAGAGAAGTGTTGAGCAGGCTGCAAGCCAACCAGCTGTGGGTGAAACTGGAGAAGTGTCAGTTTCATACCAAGGAGGTGGAATTCCTGGGGTATCGCCTGTCAGACAAGGGATTGGCCATGGATCCCGGCAAGGTCCAGGCGGTACTGGAATGGAAAACACCCAAAACAAAGAAGGATGTGCAGAGGTTCCTAGGATTTGGGAACTTCTATCGTAAGTTCATCCGAAACTTTGCCCACCTGACGGCGCCCATTACGGACTGTCTCAGCAGTAAGAAGAAGTTCGTGTGGACTGAGGAGGCGGAGCGAGCATTTGAGGAACTAAAAGGGCCTTCGCCTCGGAACAACAACTCCTGCATGTGGATTTACAAAAACCGATGAGAGTGGAAACTGACGCATCAGACAGAGCGATTGGGGCGGTGCTTCTGCAGCCAGGCAAGAAGGGGTCAGAGTGGAGACCGTGGGCCTTTTTTTCGCGAAAGCTGAACAAATCCGAGAGGAACTACACGGTGTATGACCGAGAACTACTAGCCATTTATGAGGCGTTCCGGAGATGGAGGCACCTGCTAATTGGGGCACAACATAAGGTGCAAGTGTGCACCGACCACAAGAACCTAGAGTATTGGAGGACGGCACGAGTGCTCAACCAACGGCAAGTGAGATGGGCCCAGGAGTTCTCCAAATTTAACTTTGAGATTAGTTACGTGCCAGGCCCAGAGAACATTAGGGCGGACGCTCTCTCACGCAAACCTGAATATTTGGAGGGAGGGGCACCGAAGAGAGACATGTCATTCCAGAAAACCGCTGGGTGTGTGGGGCGGCATTGGTGGGACAAAGAGAACTGGTAGAGGAAACAGAGAATGATGAATACGCCCAGAATAAGCTCAGAGGTCTTAGGGGTGAGGGAGAGGAACCAGGGGGTTTCGAGGAAAGAAATGGAGCTTTGTATTACAAAGGGGCACTGTATATCCCTGAAGGAGAGTTAAGGGGAGGGTACTCAAGCAGTTGCACGACAGCCCTACGGCGGGGCATTTTGGACAACACAAAACCATGTGGTTGGTCACCAGGGAATTTTGGTGGCCTAAGGTGAGGGAAGATGTACGTGAGTATGTAAGAGGGTGCGAGCAATGCCAGCGAGCCAAAGGGGAAAGGCGGGCGCCGGCGGGGCTATTAGAACCCTTACCAACCCCAGAACGACCTTGGGAGGCAGTGTCGATAGATTTTATGACTGATCTGCCGAAGTCCAAAGGGAAAACAGCCATCATGGTGGTGGTAGACCTACTAACAAAGATGTGCCACTTTGTAGCTTGCTCGCATGCAGTCACGGCGGAAGAGACAGCGAAGTTATTTGTAGAAAACATTTTTAGGTTGCACGGGGTGCCATTGAGGGTGGTCTCAGACCGAGGAAAACAATTTACTTCCAGGTTCTGGAGGAAGCTCATGAGCTTACTGCAGGTGGAGGTCAATTTTTCGACTGCCCGGCACCCTGAAACCAACGGGCAGGCGGAAAGAGCAAACGGTGTCCTCCAGCAATACCTGAGGTGTTATGTCAATGACAGAGAGAATGACTGGGTAGAAAAGTTGGCGCTGGCGGAATTTGCCTACAACAATGCCGAGAATGTGTCCACAGGGATGAGCCCCTTCTTGGCTAATTATGGGTGTCATCCCAGGGCTTTCCCAGGGGAGAGGGGAGAGATGGAGCGTCCCGGCAGCCGAACATTTTGTGGAAGAAATGGAAGCAATCCATCGTCAGCTCCAACTCAACTTAGAAAGGGCGAAGGAAGAATACAAGAGGCAGGCAGACAAGAACCGAAGGGAAGGTGAAACCATAAGGGTGGGAGATAGGGTGTGGCTGTCAACCCAAGGGTTGCCGTTCAAAGGAGGTTGTAAGAAATTAAGACCCAGGAGGTTGGGTCCCTTTGAGGTCATTCAACAGGTCAACCCAGTGGCTTTCAGGCTCCGGTTACCCAACCACATGAAACTGCACCCAGTATTTCACAGGTCGTTACTGTCACCGTACGAAGGGGGACGAGAAGGGCTGGCCACTCGGGGACCGGTCGTAGAAGAAAGAGAATGCAGCAGCCATGTGGCTGAAATCCTCGACGCCAGGTGGAAGGGGGATCAGGTGGAGTATTTGGTAGCGTGGGAAGGAGAACCGGAGTCAGAAAACACTTGGGTAATGGCTGAAGATATCAATGACGAGGTATTGATAGAAACGTTCCATCAAAGGTTCCCAAGGAAACCTCAGCCTGTGGAGAGGTTCCGGAGGGAATACTTTGGGACCACTGATGAAGGGGAGGAGTTGGAAGGATTCCCGGACTCGGAAGGGGAAGGGGAGATAGACTCTGAGGAGGAGGTGTACTTCGAGACCAGGAACCGCAACAGGTTGAGAGAAGTGTTCGAGACATCGGAAGATGAAGGAAGTTCATTCCGGGGTTTTGCCTCCTCACCGCCCGTAGAGGAGGGGGCGAGAGGGGGTGAAGGGGGCCCTGGAGGGGAGGTGGATGTCAGGGAACTGCCATCGGACGGAAGGGAGGTGAAAGGGCTCACACAGGTTGGGAGAGACGCAGCAGCTGAAGAGGGAACCAACAGGGAGGTGAAAGGGCTCACACAGGTTGGGAGAGACGCAGCAGCTGAGGAAGGAACCAGCAGGGGGAGAGGAGCTGAGCTGGAGGGATGGCTCAGAGACACTTCCAGCGAAAACAGTGGGGAGGTTTCAGAACCTCCTGTAAGAACACCCACTCCTCGCCGGAAACTGTCACGCAGAGATTCCAGAAGACGTGTTTCCGTTAAGGAGCTTTTATGTTGGAAGCGATTACGAAAGCAACCACTGTCGGAATCTGCTAGTGACTAGAGCAGCCATGTCTGAGGGGCTCCGTCACAGACAGAGGTTTGTGGACTTGAACAAACTCTGAGGGGATATCATTTTACGCACAAGCAGCTCATCATCCCATCACATATATATATATATATATATATATATATATATATATTCTGTTGGAAGCTGCCCAGAGTACAGGATGGCAAAGTACAAGTAATAAATTATTACCATTAAAAAAAATATTGATTTCACATATCTGGTTAAGGGTTTGAACTAGCCGTGAGTGACCAGGAACAAGACCTTGGAGTTGGAGTGGATAGCTGAATGAATAGCGTGCAATGGCTCTGAAGAAGGCAAATTCCATGCTAGGGATTATTAGGAAAGGAATGGAAGATAAACCTGCCAATATAACACTGCCATTATACAAAACTATTATGTGGTCACACTTGGAATACCATGCAGAGCTTTGCTTGCTTCACCCCCAAAAAGACATTGCAGAGCAAGAAAAGGGCAACCAAGGGCGTGGAGAAACTTAGCTAAGAAGGAAAAGTTACAACATCTTGGAGCTTCTAAAGTTTAGAAAAAAGGCACGTAAGAGTAGGCATAATAAGTTGCCCAAAATATGCATGGAGAAAATGGGTAGAGACAAGCTTTTCTCCCTCTGCTACTTGAACTCGGGTCCATTTAATGAAGCTGAATGTTGGAAGATTCAGAACTGACAAAAAGTAGACCTTCTTAAACTATGGAGTTTCCCCTGAGCAGTTGTGTTGGCCAACAACTTGGATGGCTTTAAAAGACGGTTAGACAAATTCATGGGATTTCCATGGCTACTAACCCTGATGGCTATGTTGCACCCCCATGTTGGAGGCATTATGTTTCTGCACACCACCTGCTGGGAATCACAGCTGGGGGAGTGGCATTGCACTCAAGTCTTGCTTGTGGACTTCACAGGCAGCTGGTTGGGCACTGTGAGAACAGGAGGCTGCACTAGATGGGCCAGTGGACTGATCCAGCATGGCTGTTCTTGGGTTATTTCCCCCCGCCTGCAAAATAATCAACATGCAAACATTCTTTAGGACTGTGATATCGTTGCATGTGGGCTTGTGTTGTCTGTTTGTTGTATTTTTTTGTGGGGGGGGGAGTAACAAACTGAGAATTTGATTGATAAGAATTTGATTTTTTTAAAGGACTAGGCAAATTAAGAAATGGCTACTAGCCATGGTAACCAAATGCAACCTCCATTCACTTTTTAAAGGCAGCCACTCTTTAAATATCTGATCATTTGGGTGGTTAAACAAGACAATCACTCTTTTGCCTTTGTAAACCTTCTTGAAGGCACTGCCCTGATCTTTCTAGGATTCACGAATGGCAAGTCTAGATTTAGGAGGGGAATCCACGGCCCTCCAGATGCTGAACAACCATGCCTACTACCCCTCATTAGTGGCTGTACTGGCTGGGGCTGATGGAAGTTGGAGTCCAACAATTTCTGAGGGGTCACAGGTCCCCCAACTCTGCAATAGAGGGAAATTGAACTGAGCAAGCAAGACATTTCTAAAGCTTGCTTGGAGAAGGAGAGAACTGCAGAGTGAAGAAAGAACTGTGAGTGAAGGGGGGCCCTTTTCCCCTCCTTTGGACCCCCTGGAAAACTCATCAAATCTGCAGTACCTGGAGCTGAGTATGCAGAGTGCAGCTGAGTAGAACACAGCCGTGGGCAGCCTAAGGAAGTACCATGCACCTTGGGCCTGCTCATAAAAAGGAAGTCTAAAGTGGCAAACTAGGGTGATGTCCGCTGTTTCCAGGAATTCTCGTTGTGAGACTTTTTTGGGTGAGCTGAGAGTTTTTTGAACCCTGGGTGAGAACCCAGAGGCTGAGAGAGAGGATGTGTCAGAAGGAAAATGAATTGATATAGATTTTTATAAGACTCCCTGGAAAAGACCCTGATGTTGGGAAAGATTGAGGGCACAAGGAGAAGGGGACGACAGAGGACAAGATGGTTGGACAGTGTTCTTGAAGCTACCAGCGTGAGTTTGACCAAACTGCGGGAGGCAGTGGAAGACGGAAGTGCCTGGTATGCTCTGGTCCACGGGGTCACGAAGAGTCGGACACGACTAAACAACAACAACAACAAACTTTGAATTAATGTAATATTTTTATATGTAACCGTGTATTTTTGTAATATTTTAAGTTGTCTGTTGTTGCTTCAGTTTTTTCTATACAGCTTGAGAGATTTAAAAAAGCTTATTATGTGACATAGAGATATTTTTAATATATTAAGTGATAAAGAAATTAACCAATCAATCATCAATATACATTATCTTATTTTCATGAATTATCAAAATCTTGGTTTTTAAAAAATGACCAAAGGAGTGATGGCATCTAACCTAAAATTTAGAACAAGCAAGTAGCTCCGGTTTCTTAAACAGACCCTCTAAGCCAGACAGAAGGGGAAATATATATTTGCAGTACCCAGCCTTTGCTGTTTAAGCAAACCTTTCCCATCAAAAGATAGGTCTTCTACTTCCCTCTGCTGGTTCCATTGAAAAAAGGCAGGCAGGAAAAAGGAGCATTTTAAAAATACACCGGCTGCTTGTTCTCATGATTACACAGAAATCCAAAAGCAAGCTACTACAGAAAATATTAAGCAGTGAGCAATACCAAGACAAAGACGCACTGTGGTCCAGTTTCTAGTGTGTCAGACTAGGATCAGGCAGACCAGGTTTAAATCCTCACTCAACCACAAAGCAGCTCTCTGGCTGAATCTAGGTCAGTCACCATCTGTCTATTCCACCTTAGAGGATTAGTGTGAGAATAAAGGAAGAAGACAGAGAACAATGTATACTACTCTGAGCAACCCAGGAGGAGAAAAATGTAGTATAATACAGTGGTACCTCTGGTTAAGAACTTAATTCGTTCGGGAGGTCCGTTCTTAACCTGAAACCATTCTTAACCTGAGGCGCGCTTTTGCTAATGGGGCCTCCCGCTGCAGCCACGCAATTTCTATTCTCATCCTGGGGCAGAGTTCTTAACCTGAGGTACTACTTCCAGGTTAGCGGAGTCTGTAACGCGAGGTGTTTGTAACCCAAGATACCACTGTAATATATTTTCCAGTGAGGTGTCCTGTTTGAAAAAAGTAACACAATTTTTTAAGGGAGGGGTCGGAGGGAATAAATCTGCTGGATTTGTACCTAATCTCACTGCAATGTCTCAACAAAAGCAACAGAACGTTGCTTTTAAAAATAGGCCTGAGTTTAAGGGCTATAAACTATATTTTTAATTCCATCCTGAAACACACAAAGTGCAATCAATAAATGTCACTGTAAAGGTTGTCTGTACAGGAGGAACTTCTAGTCTTCTCAACCCTTTCACACATCCTGGCCCTTGTATAGAAGGGCAGCAGCAGCAGCTGCTGCCGTGTAGCAGCAGAAAGTTGATCTCTCCAGTTATACCCCAGCCCCATAGCCGACAAGGCTTCATAGGGGGAAAGAAAACAATGGGAAAGGATGCCAATGAACAGAATTAAAGATGGGAGGTTTTCCTTCAGATGCATGTTACCTTTGCTTCACCAGGAAGACAGCTTTATAATTTTTGGTTTTGCACACTGTTTGGACTTTCACATTTCTGGCTGTATACAAAGAAAATGCCTACAAGTCAGAAATCAAGGGTAGGAATTTTTAACATGCCCAAACAGCATTCTTTCTCCTTGTCCTCTTTTGTACCACGTCACACTGCCCTCCATCCTATCTGATGGCCTCATTAAACACTGCACTCCTAAGTTGCACAAAGACTGTTTTGAGATTTGCACCAATAGGCACGTGCAAGTTATTATACCAGCCCAATTTTTAGTAGTTGTTTTCAGCCAACCCAGGAACGTTTTAGTTAATTATGATAGAAGGAAGATACATCAAAATGGTGGGCACTGTGGACATCTATGATTTGAACAGAAGATGACACTCAAGGTTTGTAAATCCTAGCAAAACTGAAGCATCCAGGATATTTGCATTTTAAATGCAGGCTTTTTAATTGCCTTTTTAAGAAGCTGCCATTAGTTTTAAGCTCAGCTGTGAAACAAGATTGAGCAAGAACTTTGAGTATGTACTTTTATCTATGCAAGTTCATTTTCACTTTTGAGACATCCGCTGTCCCGCCCCACCAACAGAAGAATATAAAATACAATTTTGCCACAATGTAAGATGACATTTCAAAGCTAGCATTTTAATTAGTTATTTAAGAAGCATTCCTGAAATTTCTGGGAGAGTGTAATATATACAGTATATAATCTAGGCAGGAGTGTTTAAAAATATAGTTTATTCCTTCGGTTCTCAAGTGATGATGCTAATGATTCCAGCTACAAGGACAGCATAACGACTATCATTTTGTTGTGTTACTACAGTTAAGCTTGTTCCATAAGTAAGCTTGTTCTGCAACACCATGGAAAGATTATCCAGGGATGTTTAAACAGTACACAAACACACAAACAAATATACCATTCTGTCAAACTGGTCTTTCCCCGCAGATATTGAGGGACTCCCCACTTTTGCGGGGGGGGGGGGGGAGAGACATTATTTATAATTTAAAACCCTGCTACATAACTTAAAATCATATATGTTAAAAGGTGCTACTCTATTTCCGGATTGATAATCCGATGTGACACTTGGCAAAATTCAATCTGTGTCTTGGAAAAAGTATCTGCAAAAATATAACCCTTGACTTAAAAAATGCTTAAAACTAGAAAATACACTGAAGTTCATATCACCATTGGGTTAACACGTTTTTAAAAGCACAGTAGGACAAAAAGAGAAGCGCCCATTAAGTATATCTAACTGGAAATATTAGAGATGGAGACCTTATGTCAGGCTGTGATTTATGCACACAGAATGCTTTGGAAGCAAATGCAGAAGATAGCAGATCCAACTCTTCCCATTACACTTGATCACGAAGGCGCGCCAGTCTCTGTGAGAGCTCATCCTGCAGAATTCAGACCAACCAACAAAAGGCATTCATTAATGCACTACTTAAGGGACAAAGACTTAACTTTCTAGAAGAACAGCAGCCAGACCAGAGAGAGACTGAGCTCTGCTAGGCTTGAAGATCTACATCTAAATTATAAGACTACGGGTGACTACCCTCTTATGCCCTATCGACTCAAGGGAAGCGCTGGGAAATAATTACATAATTCAATTCAAACCTGGAAATGGCAAGAGAGAGCTGGAGAGTCCTCATGGCTCGCGAGACCTTCCCTGGAGCCCAAAAAGGACATCAGTGAGGGTGGAGGAAGCCCTGAAGACATTGGAGGTGCAGTGGGGCTTTGTTTATGCTGCTCAGCTTCCCTGCCTAACAGCTGATGTGCATGGTAGCGCAGCAACAGCTTCTCCACTTCTCCTCCAGCCTCCTGCCAATCCCAGAGCGTCCATTCTAATTGTGGATTATTTTTGGATGCAATATTTTTTGTGTGGGCTGAAGCGAGAGTGGCAGAGAGGGTGCTCACCATTTTATGCAATTTCACTTATGCACATGGGGCCCCAGAACGTAACCCCTGCGTAAGTGGGGGAGTTGCCTGTACTAACTCCTTCTAAGCTCTGTATAGGGTTATAAACACAGTGCAAGAGGAATGGGAAGGAACAGGAAAACAAGCAAACTCTGAAACTGAGAGGGCATGAAAATCAGTAAGGCTGCTTCTTCTTAGCTCGTTTGTCCTGGTATGAGATCTAGCCAAACTATGAGCTTGCAATAGTTAGTTCATGTACATCTAAAATAGCTTTCTCCAACCTCCACATGTTTTGGGATTACACCTGGACTAACATATGCTGATGGGAGTTTAGAGTCCAAAACATTAGGAGGGCACCAGTTTATGGAAGGTTGGTCTAAATGCTCCAACTGAAGAGACAATCTTACTGGCTATCAAGCACACATTCCAGCCAAGCCAATGCACCTAAGGAGGGTGTGGAGGAGGACTGATAATGGGTGTCCTGAGGACCAGGTGGAGAAGCCCTAAAAGGCTGCGCTTGGTCCCTGGGCCTTAGGTTCCCCACTCCTGTGATAGGGAAGAAATACCATGCAAGCAAAAAGAGGGTTTACCTGTTCCGCTGAAGCAACACTTGTGCCAACAGAGCCTGTCTGTCCCTGAGGTAGTTCCATATTCAGGTCAAGGCTAGAGTTCAGAAGAAGAGAAACCAATATACAAGAAGTTATTCTGATAGTAGCCCCCACACCTCAGGTGCACTTATTGCCACAAGCTGAAAACTTCCCAGTTGTGCTCACTTCTATCTCCATGTAATATGCCAGTTAATAACAGAGTAGAAGATATAAGAGATCAGCTTTATGAAATATCTGCACCACTGAAGGGGTGCATTAATCCTCTGCCGTCCTCACATTTGTTACTCTTCTGCCCCTTCACATTTGCCCTCTTCTATCTTTGTAGGGTTTGAGATGGAGACTATGCCACTTCTGTGTAATTTTGTATGTGGTATACCACTTTGCTGTTTTTTTAATTAAAAGTGCAGCCTATAAATAATTAAACGAATGAATAAATAAATAAATAAATAGTGCTTAGCACTGTTGCTACTAAATAGCATTATTAGAGAGTTCCAAGTTTTTTCTTACTCATGTTATTTCAGAGAAGTCCAACATGTAGTTTTCTGTCACTCTGGTCTCATAGTGATCTCTCAGTCAAAGTAAGGATACTGTATTTGACATTATATATGTATCTATCTCCCTCCAGGTAAAGGGGGAAATAGCCATGTTTTTTCCTGAGAGAACAGCACTATACTATCATTGCAACGTATTCAGTTAACATTATGCTTCCTGGATCAGAGGAAAGGCAGCATTTATTGCTATCTCAAGTGCATTAAAACCTTATTAAGCACTGCCATTAGAATACTTGGTGTTTCAGTCTTCAAATGTTTACACTCACCCAGCTTCATCTGCCATTTCCTGCAGAAGCAGGTCCACTTGGTTCTAAAAAAATGAGGACCAAATCAGTTTTACCATTGTAACAGACATGGAATCCAGCGTAATAGAAAAGATTATGTACGGTTTTTTGAACCTGTGAATACCACTAGAGGGAGCTAACACATTCACAAAGCAAATCTGGCCTCTCAAAATGCAGCTTCTTAAAAAGCAATTAAAACTAGTGTTATCTGCACAAGCCTATGCCTATTTATTGGTGGGGTAAGCCCTACTGAACTCAGCAAATCTTACTTCCAAATAACCATTCATAGGATTGTGCTGCATTACACTCAAGCCTATTTTTGATTTGTTTTTATTCATCATTCAGTGATGCTATCACTACATTTGCATGTATACTTTGAAGCTTAAAGGTGCTGCTGCTGAGACTACTACCACTACTACTACTACTACTAAAATTAATTTTATTATTTATACCATGCCCATCTGGCTGGGTTTCCCCAGTCACTCTGGGTGGCTTACAGTGCGTATAAAACTTAGTAAAATATCAAACATTAAAAACTTCCTGATACTGGGGCTGCCTTCATATGTCTTCTAAAAGTTATGTAGCTCTTTATCTCATTGACATTGAAGGGAGGGCATTCCACAGGGAAGATGCCACTACCTCGAAGGCCTTCAGCATTCTACTAAAATAGTTACTAACTTTTCCTACTTTAAAACAAAACAAAACACACACCCGATAATTAATACTGACAAAGTTCCTAGTGTAGATACACTAATGGTTTTCTAACTTTCTGTCTTCAAGGAGAACCTTCCATACTGACTCGTCTGCAGAGGAACCCTAATTATTGTAGAGGAATCAGAGAAATATTCTAGGCTGCACATCTTCCGGGTCTTGCCATCATCCAAAACATATTGGCAGCAGGCCACTGCAAAAAATCAGAGGAGGTGGACAAGCTGCTGCTCAGGAGAGTTTCCAAGCTCTTCCTGATTTCCTCATTAAATAATCGTTGAGGAGCACTTGAGGAAGCCCAGTGAAAAACCACTGTATTATTATTATTATTATTATTATTATTATTTTGTCAGCAGAATAAATGGAGTAAACTTGACTCCATTCTCTAGCTGAGTCAGAGAAGGTCCAGCTCTAAGGGCAGAGTCTATTTAGCCCAGCCATATTTTTCTCTGAAAGTCTCTCATACTGGTCAAGAAAGCACCCAGGGGCAGCTGGATAGGACTGCTAATGGCAAGTTATACCTGCTTCAATATTACTTACTTGTGGTGTTGTTAGTGTAGTGGTATTACTCATTGTGTCTTCCATCTGTGCCGTCTGAACATCTAAGGTTTCAAACTGCTGCTCAAATTTGTCCATCAAGGCAGATATCTGCACATAAGCAAATGATGTCAAGCCAGGAGCACAAATGATGTCAAGCCAGGAACAAAAGGAAATATCTTAAAACTCAACTTCTGAATTTATTTGTTTACCTTTTCCAAGTTCATACTTTTCAACGTAGCATCCATCGATTTAACTACTCCAGCCATTGACTTTGTTACCTAGGAGAACAACATATATAGTAACCACATTTTTTACATTTCTTATTTGAAACTTTGGGCAACTATAGCCCAAAATAAACTAATATCACATGAAACTGCACAACACTAGCCATTGTTACAATAGTTAGCTGCTTCTTCAGGAGATTCAAATAGACAACATTTCTATTTAACACAGAATTTGAAATTCTACTTAGCAGCAAAAGGTCTATGGACCTGCCTTGTACAAACCATCTTACGAAAATGTACATAGTGCAAGTTTTTTGGAAACTTGTGTTTCTTGCTAAAACATGACAATGATGATTACCTTGCCCATTGTTACTGCTGTTTGAACTCTTGCCGCTACAGCATCAACCCGAGCACTCATCCGCAAGAAGTTGATGGCTTGATTCTTCTGCCGGATTGCATTTTCTGCATGTATTCTTGCCACTTCAGTATTGCCTTTCTGAATTGCCTTTTATTTAAACAAAGAGAAGCAGAACACAGCTTTTCAACTAATGAAGAAATATACCCTAATAAATCTTAGCTTTCAGACCTAGACTGTACACACAAGGCAATAAGAAGGATGATGGCATATGATTACTATTACACTTATTTCCTTGGGTATCAGTGCTCTCATTGTCTAAAAAGATACAGGAAGAAGACCAGCACTCTACATTAACAACACCAAACTGGCAGGTCCCTCAGGAGAGCTTATCGAAGCTTTGCAAATGCTGGCAGACACATACCAATAGTCCAACTAAAGATCATGTCAAATGATCTGCTACAGATGGGGTAACATCACTACCCAAGTTTATAGAAATCCACTCTCCTGGACACACACACTGGATTCTGAATGAGCAGGAGCTGGTACTGTATGGATGGGTATGAAAACTGACACTGTAGATTTAAAGGCTTTGTCGGCCAGTAAATTTACTGCTGGTAAGGTTCATTAATTCTCCCACTTGAAAAAGGAAAAAAGGGGGATGGGGGATGGGGAAAGGGAAAAAAGAAAAGAGAAGAAAATCCACTTTGAAAATGGCTGCTTTAGAGTCCAAGGATTCATGTTCAACCATTATCAACATGTGTTGGGGGATGGAGGGGAGCTATTCTGTTAATTAGTTTGCAATAAATTAATATTTTATTTTTTAGTTTCTAATGCAAACATATTGCAGTCAGCAACTGTGCCATCACCAATGATGTGTATAAACAGTGCAAACTTTTATTTATAACTTCCTAACATCATAGCGAAAGATCCTGCTCACACACTATCAAACAGTATATATGGGGAACATCCAATGTAATTTCACGTCTCACCTTCTTAATTTTGGCTTTTTCAACCTTTTCTTCTTTATCACACTTTTTGGCATTTCTGTTAAGTTCTTTGGCAGCGAACTTCAAGTTAAAAAGATGCTCTTAAATTTAAGTTAAGGATGATGTTCTCAGTTAACAAGTACTATAAATGCTGACAGTGTGAAGGTGGTCTCGTTGAAGTTTTAACGCTATATCCATGGATCCTTGCATTGTACACAAAATTCTCTAAATTCAGTACTGGATTTGATAGTTCACTGCAGACAAGGCCATTATTAAAAAGATGGGCTCCAACACCCCGATCCCACGTAACGGGATGTACTGACAACCTTGATCAATAAATTCCCAATAAATTCATATGCCCTTTACCAGTCAGCTATAGAGTACACATAGTGCCCTCCAAAAATCCATGCACCTTGTCTACTTTCTTCAGGGGTGGGCAAGCTGAAGCAATTAAGCAACTGAGATAAGCAACTGCTTGTGACACCTCCAACCCAGGCTCTGCTGTAGCAGCATTAGATTCAAACCACATCCCAGTGATTGTAATCAGCAATGATTTAAAAATCTACATTTGACAGACAGATTCTTCTGCACAAAAAATGTCTCCTCACAACTATGAGTATCTCTGTTGATGCAATGGCATCAGAGAAGATCTGTTCAGCTCTGCCACTGCCATTTCATTGGTCCTGCAACTGGGTACCATGATACAGACAAAGCCAACCCAAGTATCTTGTGATTTAAATTCCAGCCATTTCCCAGCTGTTTGGACAGTCTGAAACTCCTTATTATATAAAGTTCCTGGATCTCTCCAAGAGGGAGGGGGGACGTGTTCTTTAGTACATCCCGACTATTAGCCTTCTGATAGTCTTGGGGACACAGTAGAAATATCAGCTCTTCCAGTAATGAGCCAGGCAACAAAAAATAAGAGCAACAATAACTCTCTAAAATCTCCGTAGTGTCCACCTACAGGTACCCAACAACAGGATGGGCAGGGGTCAATAAAAGAAAAAGTTGGTTGCATCGTTGCAAGAATCCTGCCTGTATCAACTGGCCACATAAACTGTGATTGATCCCACTGAGAAGGCATTGTACTGGACACTTCAGCTGGAGTTGCAACAACAGTGGTATCTATGGCGCTATGGAGCCAAGCAACTTTATCCTCAATGTGCCATGCAAAGTGCTCACAACTTTCTGCCAAGTGTTCCAGAAGTCCAGCCATCATCCCTGGTACAACTAGTCTCCAGACCACCCAAAATGATTTGGCTGGCTGGCTCTTGGAGAATGCAAAGGAAGCAGCAAAGTAGTTCTCTTTCACTGCCCTCAGTGCTGCTTGGTATGCAGTTGTGTCCGATTTGGAGTGAGTTTTCAGCCACCAACACTCCAGTTGTCTCCAAGTCTGTTTCACTAACTACAGATCCTTAGTAAACTCTTCAGTAAACTCTGCAGCTCCTTGGTAAGCAGTGCAGACTCTGCAGGACCAGAGACGAACCTTGGGAGTGTTTGTGTTGATAACCCTCCTCATCTCCCATAATGAAAGCAGGGACTTGCCAGTATCATTAGCTCTGGCTTCTGGAAAATCCTCCAGAGCAGTCAGAAACCTACCAGGTTCATTTATCCTCTGGGTTGGACCATCTGTATCAGTTATCACTCCTGTAGAGTAGGACTGCTGCCAAAAGTCCAAACTTCACTAGGATGCAATCTGACAGTGACTATAGGGTTAAGACAAGCCCTCACTCCATATTCAGATGCCCCCCCCCCTCTCTCTACAAAGCCCTGTTCTATGGGTTGGGACCAAAGACCATCTGAGGCAGTCCCATGGTTCCCATGAAATCCTGAGCTGGCTCCGAGGCATTATCGAAATGGGTAGTGAAGTCACCCAGGGCTAGAGTCCTGAGTCTATCCAAACCCACACTAGAGACCACCTCAGCTAGTTCAGTAAGTTGGGCAGCAAAGTGGAAAGTACACCAACAGTATCCCCAATCAGTCTCCATGACCCCATGCCACATGCAGGGCTCTCCAGTCCAGCTCTTAAGCAGAGAGGTTTCCTAGTAAAGGAAAGAGAACTTCTATAAACTATGACATCTTCTCCTCTCAGAGGCTCTGGTCTGAACTAGTGTTCCACAGGGTATCCAGCTGGGCAAAGCTGTGTCAGATCAGGCCGACCTAGCCCTGCAATACAGACTACATCAGCTATTCATTCATGTTAGGATGTTCAACATGGTCTTTTTATGAATCGGAGTAGCATTGAGAAACAACAACACCAGACCATTGGGCACACTGGATGAGCTTCCGAAGATATTCCTGATTACCCCTGCCCAGTCTGTCATCCAGAATTGATCAACATCCAGATCATCTAGAAGATCAACAGGGTCTTACTATGGGACAATAGTGACTTTGAAAAAGAATGGGAACCATTTACAATATATCTGCAGAAACAACAGAAATGGTCTCGCTGGCAGGATTTAAATAAACATTTACAATTTTATTTACAGAGAACAAGAAGTACAACAATTTGATAACATAATATTGTATATAAACAGCAGAATGTATCATCTGACGTAATAAACCAGAAATGGTAGTTGAGGGAAGTTAACAGGGAGGGGGGAAATTGGAAAATGTATGTTTAGCAATGATATTGGATACTTGTTTTGAGAAAAGAAAATTAATAAAAAATATTTTTTAAAATAACAAAAAAAAACCCCAGGGTCTTATTATGAATCAACAGCATTCAGAAACAACAGCAGACTAATAGGCACACTGGACAAGCTTCAAGTGATACTACAGATGGGAAGCAGGCAACATAATGCAAGCATCTGCAAGTGTCTTGCAGACCTACCCCCATACAGCTATGTCTATCTCTCCCTGCACCCACAGGAATACTTGAGATCTGTGTCCCTCCCAGACACACCTGTCAAGCACCCTCCCCTCCAGAAGCGCACACTGCTCCAGCCAACCATAGACTCACAGTACAGGCAGTAACAGGAAGCAAACAGTCTTACCAACAACACTAGTTAAATAATTTGTTCACCCAAATCTCTTTTGGAAAACAAACAAACTCCCCACCTAGTCTCTCACCCAGGGTACCAGCCCAACAGGACTGAATCAGTCTCACAATCTGAACAGTCCTGGGACCACTAACCAACCAAGTATGGGCATAAACAGCAGCCACACCTCAGAGAGCCATACTACACATTACCCCAGCATAAAACCAATCAGACTTGTTGGTGTTCTTGCCCTTGCCCCAACTCGAAGTGACTACCCCTTTGGTGTCATTTCCTACAGCTTAAAAGGACTCACAGAAACACATCAATAGTGTGCTTCTTTCCAGACATATAGAGTGGAGCCTACTGGTCTGGACTCCTAAGAAACAGTCAAAAAAGGGTAGGACACACCCTATAGTGACAGACATTCCATTATGGGCAACCGGGCGGGGGGGAGAGAATGGGAACTAGGAGGAGGAGGAGGAGGAGGAAAGGAGACGAGGGTGGGGGAAAGAGATAAATTTATGTTCATTTACTTGACTGCACAAGATTTTTAAACACATGGATGAAAACTGTATTTGCTGCTAAAAGATAACAAAGAAAACACTATGGTCTCCCACTTGTTGCCTTACTAGTCCTGGGCTAAGCAGAGCAACAGATCTTAAGATGAGATATTTGAGCCCAACATCTAAGAGTGTGTGGCCTAATTTTGGGGGAGAGGGAGAGGAGAAGAGGGGACCCCTGCAAATGAATGGCATAGACTCACAGATCCCAAGCCCTAATTTGAGAAGGACTACTGTGGTGGGGAAAATCCTAGAAGGAAATTGTATTGCTCCTGTTTATTTTAGCAAGCCCAAGAGGGGTAACCATGCTAATCTATGACAAGAACAGGGAGAGGGAGCACACTGAGAGAAGTCTTTAAGGCACTGCTAGAACCTAATGGCTTGTGGCAGAAACTTCCATGAACTAGACATTGTAAATTAAATGTTATCCGCACTTCACAGAGACACATACACATACAGCCACAAAGAAGCACAAAGCACAGAAGGTCACACTATCACCAATTACACTTGTGTATGGACAGTACAGTGGGACCTCGGCTCCCAAACGCCTTGGGAGCCGAACGTTTCAGCTCCTGAATGAACGAAAATCAGAAGTAATTGTTCCAGTTCTTGAACATTCTTTGGAAGCTGAACATGACTGCAGGAAGCTGCTACAGCCAATCAGAAGCCGCACCTTGGTTCCCAAACTGTTTTGGGAATCGAACAGACTCCAGGAATGGATTAAGTTCGGGAACCAAGGTTCCACTGTACAATTACATTGTATATGCTACAGGGTGTTTTGAAAAAAAGAAAGGCCACCTTTCATGTCTTCTTCACCCACCACTGTATGCAATTATTTTCTCTGTACTCATTCATGTAAGAATACCTTCAGATCTGCTTCTACAGATGCACAAACTGGTGCATCTACGAAAGCCAATGTTGCAATAAACCTGCAATCAGCTTTTATGGTACCACCACAGATACTTTCTTTTGCCTTAGGAAGTAGTGCCATTAAACCATAGTGGTGTACAGGCTGAAGCACTGGATCAGAGCTGGGTTCAAAGTACAATTCAGCCACAAAGCAGGAGCTTAGGGCCAGTTTAGCCCCCACCCCCTCAAAGCATCTTACCACACAGGCAAAGGTGTGTGGGAGGAAGAGCGCTAGTGTGGCACAGTGATTAATAAAATCATCTAAAGGAAAAGGGGAAAAAATTGTCAGATTAGGACCTGGGAGACCAGGGATCAAATGCCTACTCAGCCATGAACCGCACCAGGTGGTCTTGGGCCAACCTCTGCCTCTCTGATTAACCTACCTCACAGGTTTGTTGTGAGGATTAAAAAAAAATGGGGAGGACAACCAAAAGCTTCTTGGATGAAAAATGACATAATAAATAAATTTCTTTCCACAGGGCCTGTAAGACAGAGTTGTTCCACCTGGCTTTGGCTTAGAATCAGTTTGATTCCCTCCCCCTCTTTCTTTTTTCCTTTCTCCTCCTGTGAAGAGGCTGCATCCTAATGTTTTAATGTTGTGTTTTAATCTTTTTAAATTGTATTTTAATCAACTTGTTTTTATTATTGGTTGTTAGCCACGCTGATCCCGGTCTTGGCTGGGGAGGGCGGGGTATAAATAAATTATTATTATTATTATTATTATTATTATTATTTAAAACAAGTATGCAAAAAGTGCAATAACACCCACCCCGCCCTCTCTATTATTGTAAACAGAGCAGTACACCTCCTAGGAGGAGTTTTTGGGGAAGGGGTTAGAGCCCTCTCCCCCAGCTGTCGCTCCCGGAGGGAAACACCAAGGTGGGGAAAGGTCTGCTCCGGAGCTCCGCCCACCCATAGAACACCCGAAGCCCACCAATCGAGAGCTCCCTCTGCCGTCCGGGTGGTTCCAATAGCCACGCCCTTCGCCCCTGTCTACCGCAGCGGGGGAGGGGCTCCAGCTGCCCCCTCAGGCTCCGTTCCGGAGGTCCCCCCTCCCCCGCCTCCCCCCTCCGGCGTTACCAAGGATACTCTCCATGTTGGACATGGCGGCGCTTTGGGGCCGGCAAAAGTGGAAGGAAAGTGAGCTCCGGTTCTATGGCGTCTACTGCTTCTTTAAAATCCCGGCTTGTTTGTGTTCCGTGTTGAGTGGTTTTTTTTTTCCCCTCTTCCTCCTTTCGGGAATCCACTTCCTACTTCCGCCTACTCCTCCCCCTCCCCTCAGCATCCTGTCACGTGGTCCGGGTCAGTGTCAGGGCTGCAGAGAAGACGGGGGGGAGGGAGGGGACTGAAACTGCGCGTGCGTAGAGAGCCCTGGCCAATGAGAGCGCAGCCTTCACTCTGAGGGGAGTAGAAAGGAGGGCGATGGGAGGAGCTCTTCCTCCAGCCTAAGGGGTGTGCTTGTACTGGGTGGTGACGTCACGGCCCTTGAAGTAAGGCGGGGGCGCCTGTGAGTGCTCGCTTTGGGATTTTGAAGCACTGCCCCCTACAGGGAAGCAGAGGCAACTGACTGGCGCTGATCGCTCGCTCACGTGTCGGTTCCAATTTGTAGTGTAGTTTTTTGGAACGCGCAGTGATATTTGAGGATGAAATGGACAGAGCAAACATGCTTCTAAATCTTCAGTAAGGATTTGTTACTGTTCCATCCTTGCTCCCGAATGAGCCCAAGGCATCAAGCAGTAAAGAAGAAAAACAATGCAATTAAAAATTAAACAAAAAGCTCAGTAGGTACAGCCAGTGCTTTCTTAAAAAAAATAAAAATGTTTAGGGGTACTCTCATTTTGACTCAAGAAAACTACCATTTTATAGTTCAAATCGGGAGGGGGGATACAGTAAATTGACAAAAGTACAGAGATTCACAAAATGTTTAGGGGTATGCATACCCCTGTGTCCCCTCAGAAAAAAGAACTGGGTACAGCATGAGACTTAATCTCAGGGTCATAGGTTTGAGCTTCACATTGAGCAAAAAAAATCCAGCATCGCAGGAAGTTGGAGCAGATGACCCCTCGTCCCTTCCAATCCTACTATTCTATGATTCTGTCTTTAAGAACATTTAAAACAGGAATATTTAAAAACAACAAACCCACCATTCACAACTTTTAGATTCAGGACTGCTAGCTTGGCCCCACAACCATGGGTGCCATGGGCTGTAAGTGCCATGCTGCATGCATGGCCCTGGAACTGAAATATGTGGGTGCCCGGCCCCTTCATGGGGAATTTAGTGGGTGCTTGGGCACCCAGGGCATCAGGGAGTTGGCACCTATGTTCAGGTTAGTTTCAACCACACTGGTTCTCTTTACTGCCTCCCACTCCCCTCCGGTTCGTTAGCACAAATGTTAACTTTGCTAGAATCTGTTATGAGACTGTGATGCAAACAGCCTGCAGAAGGATAATCATGCTGTTATGTACTGAAGTTCTCACCCTGGGCCAGCAGGGGGATACCTTAGATAGTTTTCACTCAGGTCCACTTATGCAAATAAGGAATTGAAAGTGACATTCAGTGATTGGATAGTTACAGAATTTTTTTACTGTTGTTTGTAGTTGAGCTCTATATAAGCAGGCTGGCTGAACCCTTCAGCCCAGTTCTGTTCTGGCCTGTGAATAAACAAGAGAATCGCTGAAGAATCGCTGTGTCGTCTTATACGTTCACCCACGACTTAACACATGCATGTCTACTAAAAGTTAAATCCCACTGAATTCAATAGAGTTTGCCCCCTGTTAAGTAGAGGATTGCAAGTTTAGTATTCATCCGATTCCCTCCCCCCCAAAAAAAAAATCCACAGGAAGTGATAAGCAGGCATATTACATTAATGTCCATCACTGAACCTCTCCCCGCTCCAAGCTGACAATTCACATTCTGCTGATTTTCTGCCATTTTATGAACACCCTGCAGTCTTGGCTGAAGTTTTCCTCTGAAGTTGGGTGTATGTTTAACTTCACTTGATGAAACAGTTTCAGCCACCTTCATCTCCCTGGCCTGTAGCCTCGGGCAAAAGAAGGAAACGAGAAACCAAAGAAGCCGGGAAGTGGGAAACATCTGTCTGGATTTTCATTTCATTAGCCTTCTTACTGAGCATTCCAGATTATTGCTTTATATTACATAAGAAATGTCCAAAGACGCTCTCAAGGCAAATCTTTAAAAATGTAGTATAAACACTGACAGCTGGGAATCACTGGCCTGCAAGCGTTCCAGTTGGAGAATAGCCTCTACCAAAGGCATCATGAACTTTGAAGAAGCACAAAATCAGGATGAAAGGAAGAAACAAGCTAAGAGGAAGGCAGAGCCATGGCTAGAGGGGGTCTAGCAAGGGTTCCTGCTCTGGGTGAAACCTCCAGAAGGGCGCCATTGAGGCTCCCAGCCTCCCAGGATGTCTGGGCTTCAGCCAGAGAGAAAGATGAAAAAGTGAAAGGTAGCCGCAAATTCCATCCTTCCCCTTTCCCCATGAAGCTGAAGAAGGCTCATTTACAACTCGATCCAGGCTGAGGGAGAGTTGGAAAATCTGGAGACGCTGTGTGGTTCTCCCCAGTGAAGCAGAAAATAGAAATCCCCTACGGGTTTGCTACTGTATGAGAAAGAAATTCTGGAGGGATAGAGGGAGGGGCAGGAGGCTGAAGAAGAGATTCAGTTGGCTTGGATCAGAGGTTTTCAACCTTTTTAAGTCCACAGCTCCCTTGACCAACTAAATTCTTTCTGTGGCACCCCTGTGGGGCTCAGAGCTGCAGAGCTGGCAGCCTCTCATCCTTTTTCGAACACTATCCCTTGTGGAGTGTTCCCTCAGCCACCTCTCCCCCCCCCCCCTCTCCTTGGGAGTCCTCCAAGCCAGGGGCGGAGGAAGGGGTGTGTGGTGGGTGCGGACCTCCCCAGGTGTCAACACTGAGAGGGGTGACAAAATGCCAGGCGGCACTCACCGCAGGGCCTGCAGCACGCCCAAGTCAAGCGTCTGTCCTGGGAGTGACGCGGTGGCTTGAGCGCACGCAGGCTCCGCGCTGCCCAAACGGTCTGCTTGCCACCTCCCCCCCAGCTGTAGGGTGGCTGAGTGGGAGGAGGCAGGCAGACTCCCGAGCCCCGTGGTGTGCCCCGCCCCTATGGGCAGCTTGCCCCGCACCGGGGCACACCGCCCCAGGCGCCCAAATGGCTTCCTCCGCCGCTGCTCCAAGCAGCGGCTGTGCTGCCCTGGTCTCTAAGCTGCCCTCCTCCTCCCAAAGAGAAGTACCTCCTCATACTGCCTTGGGAAGCAGCAGTGGCAGCAGTGGGCACTGCTGGGACTGCATAGAGGAAAAGCCTTCAGCACTTGGCACTCAGCTCTAAGGCAGGCCTTGCACACAGCAAGCACAGCGCAGTGCCTGCCTACCAACCTGCCCTCCCACTTGTCTGTCCATTTCCAACAGCAGGGACTGGTAGACTAGCTGGCTGGGTTCCCTCACCACTTGCTTGCTTACTCCAAGGGCGCCTCAGTTCCTGGCCACCAGCAACCCCTGGCCAGCCCCAGGGGCACTATTCGCCTGGAGAGCTTGTAGCCAGGGCTGCAACAAACAGCTGTGCAAACCTTTCTGTAAGCAGAGATGCAAGAGGGTTTCAGAGGAGGGAGGGAAGGAAAGAGGGACAGAGGCCAGCGTTGCCCGCAGCACCCCTGACCACGGCATACTGGTTGAAAACCCCTGGACTAGATTATCCTTAGGGTGACAGCAGTCACAAAATTAAAAGACACCTGCTTCTTGGGAGAAAAGCAATGACAAACCTAGACAGCATCTTAAAAGCAGAGACATCACCTTGCCAACAAAGGTCCATATAGTAAAAGCTATGGTTTTCCCAGTAGTGATGTATGGAAGTGAGAGCTGGACCATAAAGAAGGCTGATCGCCAAAGAATTGATGCTTTTGAATTATGGTGCTGGAGGAGACTCTTGAGAGTCCCATGGACTGCAAGAAGATCAAACCTATTCATTCCGAAGGAAATCAGCCTTGAGTGCTCACTGGAAGGACAGATCCTGAAGCTGAGGCTCCAATACTTTGGCCACCTCATGAGAAGAGTAGACTCCCTGGAAAAGACTCTGATGTTGGGAAAGATGGAGGGCACAAGGAGAAGGGGACGACAGAGGAAGAGATGGTTGGACAGTGTTCAATTCAAAACCTGACCTCAGATAAACAATTGCTGCACATGGAAGTTCTACTTTTGAAAAACAATTTGCTTTTACTAGAAAGCGATGCTCTTTTTGACTTTGGTCATGCAGTCATAGTACTTCCTAGGATTCCTTTGCATTAAAATGATATATTACCTACTTTTTATGCCCTTTATGAATAAATGTATTGAGATGTGTGTGTTTGTATGTATGTGTGTGTATGTATGTACACAAACACACATCCGGGTGTGGGTATTTGACCTGGGTGACAGAAAACCTGGGAAGGCACGTTTGGCAAATCCTCACCTTGATTAATTTCCGCCCGGAAACCTATGTCCCCAATGTGGAAGGATGTGCGAATCCAGAATCGGCCTCCACAGTCACTTAAGGACACACTGTTAAGACCATATGGAAGACAATCTCATTCGACAGCAAGAAGATGACCTATTGGGTAACAAGACAATTCTGAGCATAGATGCCAACTCCCTGTGGCCCTGGGTGCCCGAGCACCCACATAATTCCTCACGAAGAGGCTGGGCACCCACAAATTTTTGTGCCAGGGCCATGCACACTGCATGGCACCCACAGTCCCAAGCACCCATGGTTGTGGGGCCAAGTTGGCACTCCTGATTCTGAGTAAACATGAGGGGCTTCTGGATTATTTCTATTTTCATATAAGTTAATATTGTGCTGTTGGTAATGCAATGAATAGAACAGTATCTTGGAGATCACAAAGTGAGAATGTTGAAGCTCAAAAGTGACAGCACATTGTTCTTTTCACCCCCATTTTATCCTTACAACAACCCTGTGAGGTAGGCTAGGCTGAGAGACTGTGGCTGGCCCAAGGTAACCTTCTGAGTTTCATGGCTCAGCAGGGATTTGAATCCTGGCCTCCAACATTCTAACTGCTACAGGACACTGTGGCACAGGATTCTTTAATTGCCTGTAGGGTGATTTTTAAATGGCTAAAAAGTTGCAGTCTTTTATCCTGTGAATCCAATGCTGTCAATGAGACTTCATTCTGAATACATGAATAGTACAGTACTGTGGTTTAACTGTAAAGTACTGTGCAGGCCTATGGGACGTGGGTGGCGCTGTGGGTTAAACCACAGAGCCTAGGACTTGCCGATCAGAAGGTCGGTGGTTTGAATCCCCGCAACGGGGTGAGCTCCCATTGCTCAGTCCCTGCTCCTGCCAACCTAGCAGTTCAAAAGCACGTCAAAGTGCAAGTAGATAAATAGGTATCTGGCGGGAAGGTAAACGGTGTTTCCGTGCGCTGCTCTGGTTCGCCAGAAGCGGCTTAGTCATGCTAGCCACATGACCCGGAAGCTGTACGCCGGCTCCCTCGGCCAATAAAGCGAGATGAGCGCCGCAATCCCGGAGTTGGCCACGACTGGACCTAATGGTCAGGGGTCCCTTTACCTTTACTGTGCAGGCCTACTCAAAAGTAAGTCTCATTAAAGCCTAAATCATATTTTTCACACGAAATACGATCTGAATTAGGAAGAGCATCAATGCTCCTCTTTTCTTCTCCAGTTACAGCTCCTGCCCCCAAATTATATATTCTTCAAAGTTTCCTATGGTCACTTAACGGCGGCGCGGGAGCAGCTGGAGTAAAACGAAACCAGGAACCGAACTTCCACACATCTGAATTGTGACTCTACATTTTTATCTCAGTGGTGCGAATGAATGAATGAATGGTGTGAATGAACGAATAAACATTGAATGAGCCGCCACCTCCTTCTGGAATGAGAACGCCTCCTCTGTGTTCGGAACGGAGCTGAAAGGCTAAAAACTTCGTGCGTCATTTGCATTCCGCTCAGTGATAGGCTGGGAAGGTTAAGGAAGTAGTAAGGAACTGCTTGCCGCGCAGTTTTGAAATCTCACTGGCAGCCGGTTCCGTGTTTGTTTCTGCTGCGAAAGTATGGCTGAGCCGTTGGGCACTGATAATCCTGAGCGGGATGAACAGTACCGGAGGTAAACGAAAAGGATTTGGAACGGGAGGGTGATTCTGCATTTAAGGTTTACTTCTGAGCTAAGATTCCAGAGCGTTTCTCCTTCCCCGGATAAGAAATGTGATAACGCCGTTTCTCCTGGGCAAGTGGGAGTCAAGACTACAATCCTAGCACTTGCCCTGTGGACTCAGTTGGTCTTGCTTCTCAATACACCTGTGTATGGTTACTTTGCGGAGATGTGATATTCGAAATATTTAATAACAGTTATTTCAATGATTACTAGCTCACATTTCAGGGTGCACAAGTTTCCTTGGCAGGTTGCAGCAGATCTAAAAAATGCAGTGTTAAAATTCCAGGATATAAAACAGCAGCAAAAACAATTAATAGCGTTAAAATAACAGCAGGTCAGAAAGTTATTCAAAAAAAACAATAGTAAAATGTAGGTAGTCCTGCTGGCTTATTTTTATGAGGGGGAGGGGGGACCCAGTACAGAATAGCTTTCCACCACTCAGAATGTCCTGAAAGATAGCATACAGTGGTACCTCTGGATGCGAATGGGATCTGTTCCGGAGCCCCGTTCGCATCCTGAAGTGAATGCAATCTGCGCATGCGCGGGTCGCCGCTTCCGCGTGTGACGTCATTTTGAGCATCTGCGCATGCACGAGCTGCAAAACCCGGAAGTAACGCGCTCCATTACTTCCGGGTCGCCGCGGAGCGCAACTCGAAAATATTCATCCCAAAGCATATTATGACTGTACAAGCTTTTTGAGTTCTTCATGCTGGATGTTAAAGGGTGTGTACAGAGTGTGTACAGAGAAAAAGCAGAAGCTCCAAAATCTACCATTTTTAAGATACGCACTACATGCATTTAAAGCACATTGCTTCCCCCAAAGAATCATGGGAACTATAATTTGTTATGAGTATTGGGAATTGTAGTTCTTTGAGGGAAACTACAGTTCTCAGGATTCCTTGTTGGAAGCCATGTGCTTTAAATATGTGGTGTGCCTCTGCCCTAACAATACAATGTCCTCTCAGAAGTATATACAGTGGTAGCTCTGGATGCGAACGGAATCCGTTCCGGAGCCCCGTTCCCATCCTGAAGTGAACGCAACCCTTGCTTCTGCACATTCGCATGGTGTCATTTTGAGCGTCTGCGCGAGTGACGAAACCCGAAAGTAACGCGTTCTGTTACTTCTGGGTCACCACGGAGTGCAACCCGAAAACGCTCAACCCGAAGCTGCTTCAACCTGAGGTATGACTGTAAATCAGTGAATTCAATGGTACTTACTCTCATAGGACTGCAGCCTTAATCAGGTTAGGTTCTGCTTGGTGTAAAAAATATTTCAAGATGCACGGAAAGCTGCTGAGGCAAAGAAGCAACATTCCTCGATATTTTGAAAATATAAAATCTACCAAGTATCTGCTAAATCTCCAGCTTTGCAAATATAAGGATTACTGTGTTGGTGTTTTTACTTCTGCTCACTTTAAGTTCCTGATTGTTCCTTTGCAATCACATCTGTACCTGCCCCACAACCTTGTGTTCAGATTAGGACCCATACTGGGCCTAATTAGAACCAGATGTTGGGCCAGAGGTTTCCCATTGCTGATAAAAGCTCAATGGCATGGTTAATCCTGTGATTTGGCCTTTTAAAAAAGAGAGAGACTTTTGGTGGTGTCACTGCAGTTCTGTAAGACCCTATCTGTGCTACAGATTTAAGCACTATCATATAAGCTGAAACTACTATGGCTTCCCCTAAAGACTTCTGATGGTGCTGAGAGTCTCCTGATTCACTTCACAGAGTTGTTAGAAGACCCCTATTTTCCTCATAGAGCAACATGGGTTCCCTGGGAAGAGGGATTGCTATGAGGAAAACAGGGATCTTCTAACAACTCTCAACACCCTTAACAATCTACAGTTCCCAGGATTCTTTAGGGGAAGCCATGACTATTTATAGAGCTTAGAGCTTTAAATGCATAGGTCAAGTGGGGTCTTGTGGAACTGCGCTGACACCACCCAAAATACTGTGTCCTTGGGCAGATGAGGCCTAATTCTCTCTGGAGAAACTTACCAAAACTTACCAATTTTTCCAACACAGTCCTATTTAGTCTACTCAAAAGCAAGTCCCATTGAGTTGAAGTGATCTTTGGGTGTTAGATGGAATAAGGCAGTTGGGAACAGGGTCTGGGCAGAAATTGCAGAAATGTCCAGGAAAATCCAGACGTTTGGCAACCCATGTTAGAAATCTAGATTTTGGTGAATTTCCTTAAAAATAGCTCAAAAACTGCAATATTTTTGTTGCTGAGATTTTGCAAAACAAGCTCAACAACTTTGACAAAAGAAAAAAGCTCAACAACTTTTGTGTTTGGTTTTCACTTTTTGAAATATGGCAACCCTAGTGTTGAACATCTTTTTATTCCACAAAGGTTTTAATATTTTATATTTATTTATTTAGAAACTGCTTAATCAAACAAATCTTTAAGCAGTGTGCATAAAACAATTATCAGTAACACACAAATGAATTCAGCAAATATTGGTAGACTAATATGTGTCTGGACAGGATTTCTTAATTAAAAAAAATGGTTTTAGCAGATGTCTAATATCAGAAAGCAAGGCTATCTGTCTAGCATTGACTGGAAAGGAAAGCATACATGGTGCCACGCTGAAAGATAAACTCCCAGCAAATGCAGAATGAACATTATATGGCACTTATAGAAGTGCAAGTTCTGCAGATCAAAGTGTTTGAGCTAGAACACATGGAGCAAGTAAATGATACTAGTAAACTGCTCCCAAATTTTTATATAATTTCTAATGCTGTGTGTGAGTGGTCTCTGAGTTTTTAGAGCTATTGTGTTTATCTCTTTGATATTTGATTTATTTTTATTATTAAATTTGTGATTTTTGTAGCTCACTACATACTGTTTGTGTGTGTGTGTGTGTGTGTGAAAATAAATAAACAATAAATGACAGTTGTTTTGTAGGCATGCTATATTGTGTGAATCAAATGCATGGATGCTACTGTCCTTCCTACATTTTAAGACCCTGAGTTCATTTTTGCGGGGTATTTCTGACTCTTCAAACTTTATATTTTGCAGATTTGTCTCCCAAGCAAAGCAGGAAGCAAAAAATGGCAATCTGGAGGAATCTCTCTGCCTTCTGAGGAAGGCGCATCAAATCTATCCCTGTGAAAAGCTGACAAGAAAAATTAAAAAAGTTGAGGAAGCATTAGCTTCACTAGCCCTGGATCAGGAAGATGATGTCTTTGTGGACGTCTGTCAGAGTGGACTAATGTTGTTTGGAGAAATACATGACAAGCTATTTGACCACCAGAGAGAAGGAGTTGCCTTCTTATACAGTTTATACCGCAATGGAAGGAAAGGCGGTATCCTTGCAGATGACATGGGCTTGGGGAAAACCATTCAGATCATTGCTTTCCTCTCGGGCATGTTTGATGAAGAACTCATTCGGACTGTGCTGTTAATTATGCCACCTAGCCTTTTGAGCAACTGGCTTAAAGAGTTTGCCAAGTGGACTCCTGGGCTGCGAGTGAGTATCTTTCATGGACCCAACAAGTATGAATGTGAGAGAAATCTAAAGAGGATCCAGAAGAGGAGTGGTGTCTTGCTCACAACTTATCAGCTGGTCCTCAGCAGTTGGCAGCAGTTATCGAGCTTTGATGGGAAGGAGTTCGTCTGGGACTACGTCATCCTTGATGAAGCTCATAAAATTAAAACACCATCTGCCAAAACGACAAAATCTGTGCATGCTATCCCTTCTCAAAACCGCATCCTGCTCACAGGCACTCCAGTCCAAAACAACCTAAAAGAACTCTGGGCTCTTTTTGACTTTGCTTGTCAGGGATCGCTTCTAGGCACGATGAAAACCTTCGGGATGGAATACGAAAAACCTATCATAAGAGCCAGGACAAAGAATGCAACCCAGGAAGAGAAAGCACTGGGACTTAAGATCTCTGAAAACCTGATGTCCATAATCAAGCCATATTTCCTAAGACGGAGTAAAGATGAACTACAGAACAAAGCTAAGCCTGAGCTTAAAATCAGTCTCCCAGAATATCAGAGCAAGACTGTTGCTTCTGAAATGCCTTCTCTGCCCAGAAAAAATGACTTCATTGTGTGGGTATACTTATCACCCATACAAAAAGAAATATATAGGGACTTTCTGTCTTTGGATCATATCCAAAAGTTGTTAATGACCACAAGGTCCCCACTTGCTGAACTGAATGTCTTGAAGAAACTCTGTGATCACCCCAGGCTGTTGTCAGCACAAGCATGTAGCAAACTTGGTCTGGAAGCTCCCAATTATAATCTGGTGGATGGTGATGAAAATGAAAATGATGAGCCTTCCAGCATGAAGAGAAACCTTAGGGACATTTTGGATGAGACTCTGATGGCAGAATCAGGAAAGCTCTGCTTCCTCATGGCCCTGCTGGAAAGATTGCAGGAGGAGGGGCACAGAACACTGGTGTTTTCTCATTCAAGAAAAATGCTGGATATTATAGAGCGCATCTTAACTCACAGGTGCTTTAAGCTAATGCGCATTGATGGAACAGTAAGCCAGTTGGAGGAGCGAAAAAGGAGAATTAGTGTCTTTCAGAAGAGCAAAGAATACTCTGTGTTTCTGCTTACTACCCAAGTCGGTGGGGTTGGTCTAACCTTAACAGCAGCTACCAGGGTGGTGATTTTTGATCCTAGCTGGAATCCAGCTACAGATGCTCAAGCTGTAGACAGGGTTTACAGGATAGGGCAGAAGGACAATGTTGTAATCTACCGGCTAATTAGCTGTGGGACAGTGGAGGAGAAAATCTACAGAAGGCAAGTATTCAAAGACTCATTAATCCGACAAAGCATGGGAGATAGGAAAGACCCATACAGATATTTCACTATGCAAGAACTAAGGGAGTTGTTCACACTGGGAGACACTCAAAGCTCAGTAACACAGCTCCAGCTTCAGTCTTTGCATGCAAGCCAAAGAAAAACAGATAAGCAGCTGGACAAGCACATTGCGTATCTCCATTCACTGGGTATATTTGGCATATCAGACCATGACTTAATGTACACACATGAAGCGGTTCATGGAGATGAAGTTGAGGATGAAGAAGTCCTCATGGACATTGAACACAGGGTACAGAAAGCCCAAGAGCTGGTACAGCTGGAATCCCAGCTAAAGGACCAACTGATGGGAAACCTCCGAAACACGACTGAAGGGGCATGGCTGAGAGATATGGAATTGTCCACCCAGCCAAATAAAAAGCCATCAAAGCCTTCTCCGAATTATGCTCTCGTCCCACCTGTAACTGATGAACCCACAAGCAGTGAGAATATCAGTCTTGTAGGTGGCAGTGATGATGACATTGTCAATGTGAGTTCTAAGATGACAGAGCTACTTATTGAGGAGGATGAACAAGTGCTTCAGAACATAACTAATATGGATATCTCTGCATCCATGAACGAAGAATGCAAACCAGCCAGTCCACAAGAAGTAACTCCTATATCTTCTTTTACTCAAGATCATTCATTATCTTACAAGGAGAACTGCAGCCCTGCATGTCAGGTGGCTTCCCATGACCCACCTGCTGAGGCAAATGGCAAGTTTAACGATGCCCAAGTGGCCCCACTACAGCAGTCATTTCACTATGTGCCTGATGATGATCTACAAACTACTCAAAACCATGATCAAAGTCATGTATCCTCTTCTTCTCAAGCTCACTTGTCTTTCCAGGTAAACTGCAGTTCTGAACTTCAAACAATCTGCCATGACCCTCCTGTCAAGGCAAATGGCATGCTTACTGATATCCAAGGGGTCCCATTGCAGCAGTCATCAGAGTATGTGTCTAACCATGTCAAGCAACAAGGCGAGACTGACATGTCTCTCGATGTTCCTACAAGTCCACATGGAGAGGCAGGTGAAGTTGCTGAGCCAGGTGCCTCAGAAGCATTTCAACTGCAGACCAGTAAAATGTCAGACCTCAGTTTTGCGCAGAAATCTGGAATGAGTGTAATAATGGTTGATGAGGCTCTATCTGGTTCTCCCCAGTGTGATTTCAGACTTGTCTTAGAAGATTCCGAGGATCAGTTGCAAGATATCTCAGGAGTGGAAATGTCATTGAAGGATACAGAGAACACAAGATTTCCACTGAATAGCCACTGTAGCTCTTCGGCTCACTCTTGGCTTCAGGAAAATTCAGACAACAGAAGTCTCCAAGCCAGCAAAAGTATAATGGGATCTATGGTTATTGGGGGCTCTGATGATGTGTCGATGAACAACAGTGAGCTTTCTTTTCAGCATAAAAATATGCCCGTTAAAAAAATTGTTTCAGATAGTGAAGAGGATGACGATTGTTTTATAATTGATTGGGATGATAGTAAACACAGACAAGGATCTCCCACAAACAAACTACCTGATATCATGTCAACGCCAAAGTCTAAATTGTCCACAACCAGCCTTTGTTTCTCTCCTAGGATAATAGTTAGTGGAAGAAGATCAACCGCTTCTCGAAAATCCCTTGCTAGTATCCTATTGGATCAGGTGGAGGACATTGCAGAGACCATTGAATCCACCAGTTATATGTCTTGTGAAGATTCTTTTAAGCTTTACCTTGAAGGAGAAAAAACTCTGGACAATTGTGATTAGGAGTTGGAGCGGCTGGAAAAGGAGCCGTCCAGTGAAATGATAGAGTCTGAGAGCAAAGCTAGAGTTTTACTACAGCAGTTTCCAGAGTTTTTATACTGTTATACTCACCCCTTTTATGGTAACCTTTTATTGATTCCTTTCAGAGCAGATTTGCATCCAATCACAGCAGTGGAAAGATGAACCTGCACCTTGAGGAAATTGCTTCTGACATTGATCTGTAACATTTAAGTCCCAACTTCTTTCACTTGGAGTGTATGTATGTCTCTCTCTCTTTTGTAAAAACTAGCTGTTAAGATTTTAAAATAAACCTGGTTTAACTTTGAAAGCCTATTGTGTTAGTTGCTCTCTCTTTCTCTCTTTTACCACATTTTAGTTAAGTGTCATCTACTTCTTTGTTCCCACAGAAGGCAAGGAGTCATTTCTTTCCAAGTAGATATAGGGAACCTGTGCTCCCCAAAACATTGCTGGATCACAGCTCTCATAGTCCCTGGCATGACTTGGGCATACTGGCTGGGGCTGATGTGAGGTTTAAAAGTTCCTGCCTCTGCTTCAGAGGCTTAGTTCTCACCAAAATGTCCAAGCCTATATTTGGACTGTTCCTATGTTCACAGTTGGAGGATCACCAAACCAAATGCTCCTCATACTAAAAGTTCCCTGAAGAAAGTAAACTGGCGTGATAAAGGGGAAAGGTAAACTAGAGCTCGGCTGCATTACATCTAACAGATAAATAAGTGGGAAGGGCAGTGAACAAATTCTTGCATGGCTTTGGAGTTCAGGTAGAATAGAGACTGATGTTTTAAATGAATGAATGGGCCCACTAGCTCAGCTTGCTTCTTTTTTAGCTCTCCTGAAGCAGGAGGTAACCAAGTACTTGCTAGTGATTGGTTCTGTTAGGAATCGCTTAAATCACAGGTGTATTAAATGAAAATGAGATACTGTATTAATGAAATCAAAATTCACTTAATCTAAGCTTGGTGCAGGCAAGATTGGTACTATTAAATGTTCCCCATTAACTGTTGGACATTCTCAAAAAGATTTCAGAGGAGATTATTCTGATTCTTCTAACCAGGTTTACACAAAATAAATGCAGTATGATGTCAAAGTTATTTTTTCCTAAGTACTATATATACCTTAAAATTTTTTGGTTTAAAATTTGTTCTCCCCTACCCCATCCTAGGTTGCAATCTAGCAGTGTCTGGGACTAAGTGCCATTGAAATTAAGAAAGGGAAGAGAGACCAGAAATTGGATAGCATGCTGGGTCTCAAACCATATAACGAAAATAAGAAAAAGAATAATGCTCAAGAAATAAGTACACTTGAGTGTCTCTTTACAGTATCTTTTTGTTCATATAAAATCTCATTTTCCTATTCTTTCACAACTCTTGTTTGATGCAAGATCCTTCCTATATTACACACTTCTGTTAAATGTCAGCTAAACCCTCAAAATGTTGCAAAATATGTATTCATCCCCTGTTGAGAAAGACTGGCGGAATACTTTGTGGCACCTAGGTGCTTGGAGTGTTACCTGGTGAAAAATGTTTTGCTGCAGAAAAGCTATATAGTATTGTGTTCCTGTCTATCTCGTCCAATATACGCTCGCTGGATGTGTCTGGGCTCCAGCTCTCATCATCCCTTACCTTGGCCATGCTGCCTATAGTTTATGGGAACTGGAGTTTATAACAACATCTGGAGGACCAAAGGTTTCCTGCTTTAAACAGAGATCCATCACCATTTATGTACTTCTTGAGAATCTTTTAACATTTTATCCCATTTTTTTCTACCATAAGAGACCCCTATAGGTTGATGTCCCAAAGGACATGCATTTGTTTGACATACAAGCCAATCCTGGCTAGAGTACTATTCTTTTGTCATGAATTTATAAATATAGAACACTGACTAAGGTTACTGCTTTCCTCTGACTCATGCCTAGCTGACATCACTCCTCAGAAGAGGTAAATGGGCTTTAACGTCACTGGAAGCAACACAGCTGCATGCCTGTCAAGTTCTATTGATCTTCCATTCCGTCACAGAGTCATCTCCCAGGGCTAAATTCTCCTCTGGCTTTGAAGCATCTCTATTGATTTCACAGGATGTATTTTTATACTGAAAAGTTATGCCAATGTGTTCTAAGTGAAGTAGTTTTCAGGCTCAGGATTCACCTTTAACCCTAAGCCTTTACTACTCAAACCTGCTTTTAAAATTATTAGTTACTGTATGTATGTGTTGGGATCATCAGTAGGCTCCTCTGCAAACCTTCCAGAAGTTGAGTTGTAATTATTTTTCCATAAGCTACTGCCTGTTGCAGGTCATAATCCCCCTGTGAACCCAATAGCTTTGTTGATTAGGACAATGGTTCCCAAACCCACCCCCTGAGGGTTTTGAGGGACCTCGTAAATGATTTTCTAAACCAGTGTTTCCCAAACTTTTTCTGTGGCCCCCTTCTGACCTGATTTCCTTCCTGTGCCCCCCCCCCAGACATAGCCAAAGGGGGGCAGCTGATAACTTAAATAGAATTACTTGTGAGTAACAGATTGGCCTAGGATTTAAATATGTGGTATGTAGAAGACTATGGATAAAAGTTAAAATGAAAAGAAAGAAAGTTGTTAATTGACCAAGTAAATATTATGTGAAAATAGTTTTGGAAACTGCTACAATGATTGATATGGAAACTCAGCCGGGGGATTCGAGGAAGTCACCCAACAATGATAACAAGAGTGGGATTATTACAGTTAGGATAAATGTGTTTTTTTTGTGTGTGTTTGTTGTTGTTTTTTGATGTTTTTCTTGTTTGTTGATATGTCTGTTATAAACTTGGAAAATTAATTTAAAAATTAAAAAAAAACAAAACTAAGGGGGGCAGCTGCCTCCCAATAAGTAAAAATAAATATAAATCTGAGGTTCTGCCCCCCCTAACCAAAGCCTGTCCCCCTAACAAAAATCTTGGCTACACCCATGCCCCGCATCCTACTGATAGAAAGGTAGCTATTTAAATGTTTTGCTTATAAATAGGACATGTTATATTGATATTTTTTATAATTTATACAAAACATTTACATAAAAAGTTAGGGGCATAATGGAATGCTAAAGCATCCATGACAGATGACCATCCAACCTCCAAGGAAGGAGAGTCCAGAACCTCCTGAGGGAGATCCATCTTCCATGTATTATAAAAAGTAAACAACATTTATTTGACCCCAGTTATTAGACACAGAGGGGGAAACCTACAGATACAGTCCAATATACAGCTGTTGCTGCTCCTGTGAGTGTTTGGGAAGACCACTCCCCCTGCAAGCCAATTCCATCAGGCCCAAGGGACGGGGCCTATACTCACACATACTGTACTCTGAGCAGCTCTCTGCAGCAAGTGGTGAAAATGTTTTTAAATGTTTAAAAAGTGTTCTTAATCTGCTGCACCTCGAATGGTGGTTTTAAAAAATATTTTCTTTCTCTTTGGGGTAGGACAAATGTTTAGTCAGGGCAGGGAGTAGTTCAATTTGAGCATAATTGTTTCTTGCTTTGTTTCACTATTTTGTTAAGTTATTTTATAGTTTGTAATTTGCTCCTCCCCCTTTATTAAATTTTATTGTTACTGTTCACATTAACACACCATACAGAAAAAGAAAATAAATTTCCATCACCACCAAAGAAAAAAAGAGAATTAGTACATCAGCTAAAGGTAAAGGGACCCCTGACCATTAGGTCTAGTCGTGGCTGACTCTGGGGTTGCGGCGCTCATCTCGCTTTATTGGCCAAGGAGCCGGTGTACAGCTTCTGGGTCATGTGGCCAGCATGACTAAGCCACTTCAGGCAAACCAGAGCGGCGCACGGAAACACCGTTTACCTTCCCGCTGGAGTGGTACCTATTTATCTACTTGCACTTTGACGTACTTTCGAAATGCTAGGTTGGCAGGAGCAGGGACCGAGCAACAGGAGCTCACCCCATCATTGGGATTTGAACCGCCGACCTTCTGATCAGCAAGTCCTAGGCTCTGTGGTTCAACCCACAGCGCCACCCGCGTCCCTAGTACATCAGCTAGTGACCTTCAAAACATAAAATAAAAGTCTTTTTCTATCTACCAGATTTCCTGTCTATTCCTTGTTACAGATTCTGTATTACAGTCATACCTCGGGATAAATACGCTTCAGGATAAGTATTTTCGGGTTACGCTCTGCGGCAACCCAGAAGTAACAGAGTACGTTACTTCCAGGTTTCGCCGCTCGTGCATGCGCAGACGGTCAAAATGACATCACATGCATGCGTGGAAGCGGCAACGTGCAGACGCGTCTTACATTCTGTTCAGGATGCGAACAGGGCTCCAGAATGGATCCCGGATCCCATTCGCATCCTGAGGTACCGCTGTAATTGTTTGCTGCCATTGCATAACGAGTTTTGTTCAATTTCAATATCCCTTGATCCATTCATTGCTTTTACCACATTTTAACACTTTTTTAATGCATTTTGCTTTTTAAGGGGAGAGGGTCAGGGCTGCCTGGGAGTGGGCCTCAGCCAACAGAATGTCTGGGGCAGGTTCCACAGTGGGTAATGTATTGGGACACCCGATTTCAGTGATCACGGGCAGGAGGAGGAGTTACGCTAAGACCAGACCATGTCATTACTGAGGAGGCAGGCTTAGTCATTGTTTGAGGACTATCCCTGCCTCCAGGTCTGGTCCTGACTGGAAGGATACTGGAATCAGCAAGGGAAACCCACATGACCTGAGGGAACCAGAGGGCCTTCTCGTTAGTGGCACCCACCCTGTGGAATGCCCTCCCATCAGATGTCAAGGAAGCTATCATATTTTTAAAAGACATCTGAAGGCAGCCCTGTTTGGGGAAGTTTTTAATATTTAATGCTGTATTGTTTTTAACACTCGATTGGAAGCCACCCAGAGTAGCTGGGGAAACTCAGCCAGATGGGCAGGGTATAAATAATAAATTATTAGTATAATTACAAAAGGTGCAGAGGGAGTTCTGTATATATGGGAGAACTTTAAAAAGCAAGTGGTCCTCACTGACCTGGTGCAAAAAGATCTTCTTATCCAGAGGAGCCCTGACTGCCTAGAAGGATAAAATGTTATAGCCCCCTACACCCTTACCTGGGAGTAGAGTCCACTGAACTCAGTGTGTCTTTCTTCTGATTAGACTCTTAGTTATTTGCTAGATGCAAGTCAGCAGCACCAGATGACCCCACTCGACTTGGCGCTGGGGTGGATTTCACCCCACGCCTTGCAGAGCCGGGGCCAGGCTGCCACCAGGTCCAGCACTGGTGGCAACAACAAGCAGCTCTGACTCGCCCAGCCCTACTCATTGCCACCCCACCACCAC